ATATTATTTAATGTATAGGTTGGTCAATTATTTCTTTCTCCATAGGAAGTGAAGAGGAGGAGGATGGCGCCGACAATGAGGTCATGATTCCCCGCACACTGCAAATGTTCTTTGAACCCGAAGAAGATACTAACGAAGAGGCTGAAGCGGCCGGGCGCATTGATGTGGAGCAGTTGTCCACCTTGGTCCCTGGGGTAGCAAATGGACCTTCTTCACTGTACGATTTTACTTGGAGGAGCTACCCCACGGAACCTATTTCACCTGCCGAGCGCCGCGAAAAGTTTGTTGGTGACAGTGGCCCCACGATTGAACGGACCACAGATCCTTATGAGATATTCACAAGGATTTGGGACCATTCAATCATGGGGCACATTGTCACCCAAACTAATTTATACGCACAGGAGTATGCCTCCCATTTACTTGATACGGGGTTGATGGGCCCCCATAGTCGCATCACTAGGTGGAAAGACGTCACGTTAGACGAGCTTTACGTCTATTTTGCCATAGTGTTGGCTATGGGGGTCCTTGTCAAATCAAAAATGGAAGAATACTGGTGCCGCGATGGCAATATTTTCAGCACACCACATTTTGCCGCATATATGCCTCTTTTTAGGTTCCAGCTTATTAATAGATGTTTACACTTTAATGATAATAGACTTCTTATGCCAGATTTATTACCTAAAGAGGCTAAACTATTTAAAATCAAACCAATAGTTACCCATTTAAATTCAGCATTTTCTAAATTGTTTAATCTTTACCAAAACGTTGCACTCGACGAGTCACTGACGCAGTGGAAGGGCTGGTTAAACATAAAACAGTACATACCAAACAAAAAGTCCGCAGTTGGAATCAAAACATACGAAGTATGTGACTCCCGCACAGGATATCTGTGGCGGTTTGAAGTCCATACGGGTGCTGAAAGTCCATCCACGGAGAACGATAGAATAATTGTGGGGAGTATACCAAATTTAGTTCTTCGACTGTTGGACGGCCTTGAACACAGTGGTCGTACCATATGGATGGACAACTATTATAACTCCCCTTCTTTAGCCCGCGTCTTAAAAACGCTTGGTCTCGACTGCGTCGGGACTTTGCGGACCAACCGACAATTTGTCCCAAATGAAATTGTCGCTTTAAAGCAGGGGAACATGAGAGTAGGACAGGTGTGCGGCTGCACATCCGGAGACGTCGACCTGATGGTGTGGCGAGATCAGAACAAGGTTGCTATGATTTCGACATACCATGGGGTCGCAGTCTCTGATGGTAAGCCCACAATTGTCAAAGATTATAATATCTGTATGGGGGGCGTAGATCGTAAAGACCAGATGTTATCTACGTATCCTGTAGAGAGAAAACGTACTATGGTATGGTACAAAAAATTCTTCAAAAGGCTTCTGAATGTGAGCGTTCTAAACGCTTACATTATCAGCAAGTGTTTTGATGAATCAGTCGATCACAGAGACTTCAGAACCGATTTAATTAAGGCTATATTACAAAAACATAGCCAGCCTTTGCAGTCCGTCAGTGTCGCTCCGCTGCTATCTCTCGCTGGGCCAAAACTATCGCCTGAGGTGATAGCGCACTTTCCAACATGGCTCCCAACTCTGCCGAATGGATTTGGTAGACAAAAGCGTCAGTGTGCTGTTTGCAAAAAGCGTACTTACCAGTTTTGCAAACAGTGCAACGTTGCTTTATGTTTTGACCCAGAGCGAGATTGCTGCTACATACAGTACCATTCTTAAACGAACAGACTGACTGACTGACACAGCCTCCCCAAGTTAGAATCGAGACAGACTGACTGACAAATCGTAACATACCGTATAGTTTTTATTTGACGTTTCTGTGTGCTTTTTGTAAAAACCAAAAGAAATAAATGACTTTGAGTTTGAGTTATAGTTTGGCAGAAAAGTGACTGTGATATACGGGTGGACAACTGTATCCGTAAGTACAATACACTACCAAGTAATGTGCCTGAATTATCAGCAAAAATTGTGCCATGAGGCTTACTATAGCATTAAAGAGTTTTTCAATGACAAGGCTGCTTGGCAGTGAATGAATTGCTCATCGTCTTAAGCATAAAAAAACTATGTAATAGATGTTGAAAAAAGCCGGACTGAGTTTCTTGGGGTACTTCTCAGTCTCGTTGCATTTTGGAACCCTCGATAGAGTCATCACATCACAGACAGACTGACAAATTCTTAGGTTAGTTTTTTTACTGACGTTTCTTAATGTTTTTTGTAAATTTTGTGTTTTGACAGACAGACATGATGAATTTGTAAGGGTTGCGTTTTTTGCCATTTAGCTACGGATCCCCTACTAAACGGAAAAATACTACGAAATACGGAAACTGGGCAGTTCTGGAAAACCATACACCTCCTTTTTATTAAGTTGGTTAAAAAAATACCGACTCACGCTTGACCATTGAACAAAAGTTGTTTTCAAAACAATTTTTGTTTCTGGACGTCAAGTCATTGATAATAATTGTATTGATTAATCCGGTAATGCCGCATCCAGTTACAACTTCATTCTAGATCCGTGTCAGAATATGGTGGGTGATTTACGGGTGTTTGTAAATGCGTTTTATGATAAAAAAATGTATTAAAGCCTATGATTTAACACATCAAATATTGTAAATATTAGATTTAAGTTTAAAATAAAACATAACTGAACTATAAGAAATCCATGTTTTATTGATAAATACCACAATTAAAACTTTATTCAACTTTTACTAACAGTATTTACTCAAGGAGTGTATGAAGTTTGTATATTCATTTATAGGAAATTTCATACAGAATTCAGAAATGCATACATGTTATAGTATTTGATATACAAAAATAAAGAAATTTACGTAAAATCTGACGGTCCCCCTTCCGGTGTCTATTTTTCCGCCATTTTTTTTTGCAAGTTAGCAGTCAACGGAGATGGCGCGTAAGAGCCGTAGCAGTTGAGAGGATAAGAATTTCTGTTCTATTTTTACCTTAGTTGCCAGGGTATCCAAATTAAAATTCTAATTAGTCCGTCAGTTAGATAATGAAAAAATATTAGATACGTTTTATTTTATTTTCTCGTATTAAGTTACAATACTTAGACAAAATGCGATAAGTTTAGGAGTAGGAGGTAGTTACGTCATAACGTGCTACAAAATGTGGCACGCTGTGACGTCACATGATATTTCAAATCAATATATCGTCGAAAGTATTTAATTTTATGAGAACAGAAAAAATACGTGTCTATAGTTTTAAATTAATATACCAGACGGACATTAAAATAAAATTTAGGAAACTACACTATTAACTCGTATTTCAAGTTAGGCAAACAAAAATATTCTTGAACAAATAAAGTAATCTGCCAACTAACTATTATACAGTTTGGCGATTTTTATGTATATTTTCAGTGACAAAAAAATCCATATTTTTCGTCAATTTATCGTTATAAATTCTAAAATTCTTATTCGTTATCTTCGCATCAAACATTTCTAAGCTATTTAGAAAACATCTCATCAGACTCATAAACAGGTATTGTTTAAAACCTCAACATAGGCAATAAAATAAATTATATAAAACAAACACACGCGATTAAGCAATAAAAATGGCTACTGTTTTTTGACACCAGCCCCTTTCCGGGAACATATAAAATCTACAACGATTTGTTTATATCACATTAACAAGAAGGCACTTTAATAAAGTAATAAAAATCCGAGAAAGGACGGCTAAGAGTATAATTTTGCTATTAATATTCAATTTTACCCCCAAAACTTTGTTGCCACTTCAAAGAAAAATCTAAGATGACGATCTAAAGCGGAGTATCTACTTACGTAATTTCCGAGTAGGCGTTTGAAGGGTTAGGTCGAAATTGCGCACGTGTGCGTGTACCCGTGTAGTGTGCGTGTCGTAATTACATGAATGTTAACACTTAGCGCACGTGTTGCCTGGTTTTATTTGAATGCTTCTGTGTCAAAGTTCTTTTTTTGTTTTTCTTGAATTAAACGAAGCTAATTTTGAACTAGGCTGAAAAAGTATAGTATTTTGTACGGTGAACATAAAATTAAATTATATCATTAAGTCGTCCAAATTTGAAGTTTTTTTACGTTATTATAAACCGGGTCCTTGCTCTCTAGGTCGTTTTGTGTAGGTTTCAAAATGTCGTCAGATCTAGGGCTGATAACTTTGTCTCATTCAAATAAGAGCAGTGTAGGTGTCATCTTTATTACGGTTAAGTATCGCGTAGGCTAAGTAATGGACAAATAAAAATATATGTTTCATTGTTTTAAGAAAAATTCCAGAAGCCAAAAAGCTGAGTCACTGTACTACGACTGTGTTAAGGTAACTCAATATTATTATGATTCATAAATACCTACAGATATTACATATAAGGAATCATAAAGATAGAAATCAAGACACATTGCTACAATTTTTTAAAATTAAAAAAGCAATGCTGTTTTAATTAGGTACTTAACTGGTTTATATTTTATCCATGACTATTTAAAGACCATGAAATCACGCTAAAATCCTTATAATGAAACCACCCACCATCACATATTCATTCATATTCCACCCTTAACAATACTAAACAAAGAAAGAAAGCATTTCTTTTAAAAAAATAAACATCAAATACAAAAACCACACAAATCCAAAAAACCACGATTCATAGAACTCTCCTTATGACATCAAAGATATTTTTTTCTTTACGTTATTATATTTTCTACTGAAACCACAAAAAAAGCCCTTACTGTACACCTGAGAGTTTTGACAGTTGATTATCGAGCGATCATAATGCGCGGGCGCAGATTTACGACGTCATAAAGCACGGCGCTTGCGCACCACAATGGGTTGTTGACAAAACGCACTAGCGCCCTTGTGGACCCTTAAGTTTATGATCTGTAAGAATATGGAGGATATTCTTATGTTAGTAAAATAGGAGAAGAATAAAAACGTTATTATTAATGTTTTTAGTATTCTTTTTTTCCGAATAATGTTAAATATTAGAATAGTATTAGTCAGCTTTTACAGTCAAAGTCTTCTGTATAAACTGTAATATCTTATAACTTGTCTTACAAATATCTCCATCAATTTGTATTTTATTAAAATCAGAATCAAAAACTCATTATTTTTTTAAAAAAAAACGTTGCCCCACACTAGGATTTTCTCCTGTGTCGTGGGTGCATTTACAAACATACAATTTCACATACACAATGACACCCAGACCCGAAACAACAATTTGTGGATCACACAAAGTGTTGTCCCGATTAAAAAAAATATATATATTCTCACACAACAAATATAAGTACAAATTTAATTTTTTAAAATGTTTCTATAGGAATTAGAAGTCGCATCCACACTCACCTAACGACAACCTTCGTCCTACCACAACTTATGACATTTTATATCAAAATAGTTTTGTCTATAAGTTCATAAATGTTCTAAAAACCATATCGATACCCTCAGAGGGTCCCATAATTTGGACACTTTATGGGATACACAACAATGAGAACGGTAGCATGGTCCCATCATAATGACTTCTCGAAGATATTTTGTGGAATTTTGAACTATTTGTTTTTAATTTTGTGAATAGAATTTTCGACAGGATGAAGTCATAAAAATGATTTATGATTTTTTTCTTCTTTGCTTGTGATAAAATTGTACTGTTTTGTTCAGAAATCGTGTGTGATATTTGTGCAAAGATTATAAATGTATTTTGTATTATTAAATGAAATGTGGATAGTAAAATAATTAAAAAGTTATAATAATTGATTATTGACTGCTTCAATGGTCTAGTGGTCGCAAGTGCGATTGCCGGCCACGGGGTCTCGCGTTCGATACCCGGGTCGGGCAAAGTATTATTGGAATCTTTAAAAAATCTCAGTATATGGCAATAGGCTCACCCCCTATTACATGTAACTTATAACATAAATAGTGAAAAGTGGGTGTTACGTTGTACAGTGGCATTAAGTGCCGTATTGTGCAACCTCTGCCTACCCCTTCCGTGATAAAGATATGTTAATAATTGATTAAATAGCTCATATAAGTAATTTTTTTTGCCAAAAAATATGCTACTGTCTTTAATCAGGTTTTTTTTATTTTTTTAAGTTACCAGTTGATAAAAACAAAATAATTCAATAAAAACGTCAATAACCTTTTTCCCTATAAAATTAATGCTATGTGAATATTGCGATTCGCGACAAATTGTCGATTAGTGGTCATTACGCGCGATTCAATTCACAATCGCTCTCATTACCATAGTAATACCCCACCCTGGCTTTTTGCCATGGAGAAAAAATTTCATGTAGTGTGGAGTGGTGCACCTTTTTTTATTTTTTGCCCTTTTTGGAATCAGGCATAAAAATATCTAAATATTCTAATACACTTTAATATGGCTCGTCTCAATTACGAATGTTTGACTTTTATTAATATTTCAGATTTTTTTATTTTAATTGTTTTTTATAATAAAAATTGCATTCTTTTGTGTTTCTCTCAAATGTTATAACCATTATTTTCAAAATACTTTATAAAAAAATCGAAATACAATTATTAACAAACTTAATTTAGTTCCTGGTTCTGCCGCTTAGAGGTACGTAGATGTCGCCACCATTGAATATTTCTTTTGTTTACAAAATATACGATAAAAATCGATGTTCCTAGTAAAATAAAGAATTAGATAATATCATTGAATTAAATAAAGTCGAAATAAATATAAACTAACAGTACCTACTCTACGCTATTCTATTTAACCCGTTGTACGGCTACGCAATTATTTATTGATCGCAATGACCAAACATTTAATTTTCGAGTGCACTGAATACAGAATATATTTTTAACATACAATTTACTTTTAAGGTAACGTGACAATACAATTTATTCCTGTTTTATTTTTGAGACACGATCAAAGAAACACCTAACCCACATTTCTATGAAGCTAAATTAGGATTTCTAGGAATTCTTAGGCCAATTACGGCCATTCAAAAATTGCCATAGCGGACGGTATTTCACGTCCACACGGCGGGGTATTGGTAAAGTTTTCAACTAGCAATAATCGCACCTCGGATTAACCTCATTGGTTACGATATTGCCTCTGCGCAAAGTTAACTTTCCGAAAATTTCGGTCCGACCTAACCAAATCGATGTAACGAAACCATAGCGCGATCTATCTCGATCCCAACGCCATCTAGTTAGGAATTTGGAAACTTTTGCATTTCATACAAGGATGTTTTGTACGAATCGTCGGCACGCGAAATTGCATCAAAAACTTATACATTTAAATAAATAAAAAGAGAAACGATGCAAATTTAGATTTCCGTGATTCCTATTGGTCGAGTTAGTTTGGCCGAATTTCTCCGAACGTCAAAATTCGAATTGTAACGCGATCACGCACGCGAGGACCGTTACTGCACATTTCAAAAATAGAACACGCCGGCCATACTGAGTAGGAGGACAGTTGACAGTAGCGAATCATGATACGCTTATTAATCAGTCTATTTATTTTATATTGCATATAAAATATTCAGAAGACGAAGTCAAGGCGCATACATTCCTCAATAAAATGACCATAAAAAACTAATGCAGCACTTGGTGGTTTTATTGCGGTTCTTGGTAACCGTAAATATAATTGTTAAATTTCTATTTTAGGTGTTGATGGAATTGTGCAACTGAATCACTTGTTCTAGGAAGAAAATGATTCAGGATATCATGCCTATGAGAAATTAAGAAATTCCTAGATTGTAGTGCCATTTATTTTTTAAAGCAGTCATTATAAATACTTTCAATTTTATAAAAAAGAAATTCAATAATTAAAATTAATCCTTCAATAGAGTAGCTGTTTGAAGGAATTTTGTCTGTACACTAGCGCCATTTCACTAGTGTGGATTTTTTTGGAACTAATACTTAACCCTCTTAATGCGAATGGTCATACATTCACGATTTGTAAGGGGTCTGTACGACCAAGGACAACTATTTTATTTCTACTTATTATTAATTATTTGACTTATTTTAATAAATTAACACTTATTACAATAGTTATAAAATACCATAATAATTCGGTAAAAAAAATAGATTAAAACCGTTTTGTCCAATGTTTTTTTTAAACTCTATTAAAAAAACTGTTATCTTTTTCCGCAAATACATAAAGTGCTGTGAACTAAAATAAAAGCAATGCAATGAATGAGTTTGCATGTAATTCACGCTGAAGAAGAGAACATTGTGTTGTCATAAAAATGCAAGGAGCGTGTACCCGACGCATTCTCAAGTCTCAACAATACTGAATGACAAACGTATTAGAAACCTGATCATATACGCATATTATTTTTAAATACTTCCAATGTACATTTAGGTCGACTCGTAAACTTTACATAAAAGACGATTACACGGAATATTTATGTAGACTTTTCTGCTTGTCATACTAATGTAAATAAAAAATAAATAAAAGATATGGCCGAATGTTTTACCAAAGTATCATCTTTTTTTGTAACGCCATTTCTCTAATTTCATGTGCCTGATAACCATGCAAATAGTATTTTATTTTGATATTGTAATAAGCAATAAAGTGTGAAAAGCTTACATTATTTACTTGATAATAACGAAAATTTCAAAAAATCAAGTTATTTCCAAAAACACGCTTTCATAACCTTCAGATCGAGTGCTTAAGTCACAAGCATTTATCAACGTCCTGTACTTTAAGACGGATATCGCACGACCAGTGTATCATGACCCCTTGCGATAATCTCTTCCCTCTCGGCTTTTTTCCTGTCACAGGAAGGAAAAGGGAGAGGGGAAGGTCTTGGATATATGGTGGTGGGATAAAACAATCATTTGTCATGTTAGATGTAGGAGATATGATGTCAGCCGTCTGATGGACACAGATTTGTGTAATGCAGACTATGAATATTTTTGACGTTAGTCCATACGAGAATGTTTTGTTTTTACAGGAAGTTTTCGATTTTCCTGTTAAGTATGAAAGTGTATTGAACAAAACCAACTTTGAAATAGTGTTTGCAAATAATCCAATTTGATAAATAGGGCATCATGATTTTTTGTTCTTTCTTTATTTCTTTTACCTTATGATTTTTATAATCTCATGGAGTTTTAGTGTAAGGGATAATCTATTAGAAGATTAATAATACACCAACTTTGTTTCTGGACCACTCAACAATAATAACTTCAAAGGAAAAATAGTCATAAACAAGAATAAAAAGAAAAATCTACACCTCCCTAGAGAATGAAATCACACAAACGAATTTCCATACTCGTAATCTTCTCAATAGCTAAATAAATTCACAGATAAAAAATGTTAATTTTATTCCGAAAAGCAAAAAGAAAAAGCCACGACTCCTTGACTCAAAAAGGCTGAAGGTGCGAAGTGGTTTAAAAAAATTGCCGAACGAAATGAATATTTTAAACAGATCTCTTTGCGGTTGTGTTTTTTAATGTTTATTTATGTACCAATAGGGTTGATACGGGTTAATATTAATGATTTTGTTACTGAGGGGTACAGGCGCAAGATTTTTTTGATAGGGAGACTATCGGAAGAACATTTGTTTGTGTTAATTTTGACGGGGATTTGACTTTATTTGTTTTTGAAGTAGAGAACTTTATAAAGTAGATGATAGTAAGTTAAGTAAAGTAAGTTAGATATTTTTTACAGTTACAGGCGATTACAGGTAAATCTATGAAATTTGAAATTTAATATTTGTATTACCGATTATTATATCAATCGCACTGAGATGAAAAATCTTTAGCAACCTATTAGGGAGTAGGAAAACCTGTGATAATAGAGAATTTAATTGTTATTATTATTAGTTGAAATTTACCAAACTACACTTAGCCTTTTACTTTACTCGCCAATCACACAATCTACCCCATCTACGTCACTATCATTGTTCTGTCCAACCCTTTGTCTGCCGCGTGTATTATTAAAACGATGTTTACTCAAAAGCCTTTTCCATTACTCATCCTGTACCTGACCTCAATAAAAAATATCTTTATTCGTAAGTACATAGCAACAGAAGGTACCTATTGCCCAACCGACGGATCGGCAGGAAGCGGTAGTGGATTCGATCCTGAGTTGAATATATTATTTGATTGATGTCATGGCTGTCGTCATACATTACTATTAAATATGGTGCGGAATAGTAAATCCCTTGTTCATTCGGAGCTAAATATATCTTTCGGTAGTTTTACCTGGAAAATTAATTGAGATTCGTTTAGCGTTAAATGTTGTATGGAAATTATTGTTGAAGGTTTTTCCAGGT